TCCGAAATTGGAACATCCTCATTCAGAAAGAAAGAGCAGAAGATATATGATGAGGCCTCAAAGTACTAACTCGACACTGTTGTACTCTCGTCAACGAAGCGCAAAGCCTCCGGAACTCTGAACATCTGCAGGAGGAAGCTAAGGTGTCGACATCGGCACCAACGACAAAACCGGTGTTGCTATTCTGGTCGAATCGAACCTGGCTGACAGAACTACTGAATAGAAGGCTGTCAGCGGAAGAGAAGCAATCATCCGTCTGAAGTTACGGCAGACTAAAGAGTTTATCTTGTTAAGAGTCTATTCGCCCAATATGGAGAGAGAATATGAGCCCATCCTTGAGGAAATGGAGTGCGCTCTGTACTAAGCGCCAATTACGGAGCCCCTCATTTTAATGGGCGATTATAATGCGCATGCTTGAGCAGACACTGAAATATGGAAAGGCGTGAAAGAAGAAAGAACGGTCCCATTGATCTCAACAATAACAGCATGAAGTTGTTGCGGTTTGCTGCAAACAACGGTCCATTATGTACACCTTCTCGAGCATAGAGTCGGGCATCAGTATACTTGGCATTCAGGAACTTGTGTCCAGTAGTCGATGATGGAATTGATAACCGTATCGAGGGACTAACGACGCTCTGTAATGGATGTTCACGCTGAAAAACTGCAGAACCGTCAACTGATCAATACCTTGTTGTTGGGACGCTCGCTATGAGAAATGAGGAACCATATGAAATGTGCAACCTGCGAATCAAGTAGAAAACATTATCTTCGACGAATACGAGAACAGAACTCGCAAACATTGTAGGATGGCTGGAACACCCCTCCCCCAGAAATAACAGTTAACGTGAAAAACTAGTGGAAGAACGTAAATATTGGCTTACTCAGGACTGACATCGAATGCGGCAGCCACTGTAGTGATGAAAGCCAAAGCTGATTCCTGGGAGAAATTCGGTGATGTGTTGGAGTAGAATTTCCACATGGAAAACAAGGCATTATGACAAACCAGGGTCCGAGGTGAAAAGAAGCGCAGTCTAGGAGTCTTGAATGACAGGTCTGGTCACCCTCTTACCAAGGATGATGACATTCTTCGGCGATGGAAGGAAATACTTTGAGGAACTGCTTAACCCTGAGCAACCGCAGAAAGACTCGCCTGTAGAGCAGCAGGGAACGGGCATTACTATTTCTGTAGATGAAGTAACACCAGCTGTGAAAAGCTTCAAAAGGGCAAAAGCTGCAGGAATTGATGAAATCCGCCCTGAAATGCTCAAAGCATTCGGCGAGTCCTTTACGAAGCCATGCCGCATATAAAATTTCTTATATACAAGTTCTCCAGCGTTGCGGATCATCGTCGATCCTTCTTCAAGAAGCGAAATTTTATAGGTACAATGTACCATAAGCGTCGTTGCGGTTAGGTACGAACTTCACTTCATTATTCATAACATCGTATTCATAATATTTTGCTCCCTTAAGACGGATCGAGTATGATCCGAAAAGTTAGAGAATTTGTATATAACAAATGTTATACATGGCGTAATCCCGTAAAACACCTGCACAGTTCTGAACTAAATCCAGCAAAAAGAATCCATCTCCTTGTTTAGAATAGTTCTCACCATTTCAAAAGTACTGACAGGTACAAATATTAATAATAACTAGTGATGCGGAAAAGAAACAATATTTTGTCCTTCTCCTCGAGAATAACTTTAAAGACACAACAG